ACTGCAAGGTTGGTGGTTCAAACTCACCTGCCGCTCCTTGGAAACCCTATACAGGATCACTGTGAGTCGGAACCAACTTGATGGCACTTAACAACAACAAAAGCTGATCTTGACTGGATAACTTTGGACAAACTGTATACCTCTAAATAAGGATTTCCTTTCTCTAAAATGGAGCTATGGTTTTTCAAGGTTGTTACAATAATAAAAATGATATAACATGGAAAATACTTGGCATAAAATTTGCCATAATGTATAAGTTCTATTATGTTTAGCTCAATTTGTCTTTGAAAAGCACAGGATAAAATGCATTTTAGTTAGTTTATTTGAAAACTTTTAATAAGAATGATTATAATGTAAAAAGTTCAAGACTTCTGGTAATACTGAGAAAAACTGAAGCAAATATTACTTGACGGCACTTAACAACAGCAATGAACTATGACGGAAATTGTAAACTTTTTCATGTTAGAAGTTTTCCATTGGGGAAAACTCTTACCTAATTGTAGGTTTGAAATGGATTGAAAAAAGTAACATGAAGGTACGAGTGAGAGAGCCTTTTATTTTTCTGACACTTCACTTTTGGTGAGTTGCACAGTCACATAATAGTTTTTACTTTTTTTTGGTAACAGTTTTATTGAGATATAATTCACTTGCCATAATATTCATGCATTTAAGGTACATAATTCAGAGATTTTTAGCATATTCATTTAACTATGCAACCATTAGCATAATGCATTTTAGAACATTTTCATTTTTCCCAAAACAGTGCTATACAGGATTTCTTTGACATTTTGATATTTTTTGTCTGACCTTGGGCTATATAGCCTTTCCTATGATTGGTCCATTTTACTTCACCGGTATTGGTCAGTACTTAGACAAATGAAGTGACTAAAGCCTACTATGCAGAAGTGACTATAGTCTACTGAGAGGAGATTGGTTCGTTTATAGCCCTAGCGGGAGAACAAGGCCTTGAAATTAACCAGAGTTTGGCATAGTGAAAGAGAAGAATGAAAGAAACATAAAGGAGAAAAGGCAAGAGAGGTGAAAAGAGACAAAATGAGAAAGGATGTAAGAAATCTCCCCAAAAGAGCTATAATATGGGCCAAGGGCTATAACACAAATGTGGTGAGAGACCTGGAAGGGGCCTTGTGACAGAGCAGGTAGCATAAAGCCCACAAAGGGCCCTGTGGCAGAGTCGTTGGTGACAGCATGGGATTTCCAAGGCTTTAAATCTTTACAGCAACAGAAAGCCTCATCTTTCTCCCATGGAGTGGCTGGTAAGGTTAAACTGTCAACCTTGAGGTTATCAGTGAAATATTTCTCACGCTGCCACCAGGGCTTCTTGGCACATGATACATTTTCATTAAATGTTTATTTCAGGAAAGGAAAATTGGGAAAGTGAACAGTAGTTATAACAAAACTTGATCTTTTTAAAATATCTTTCTCAGGGGAAACACAAGAATAGAAGAGGCTTGTGAAATGTATACCAGAGCTGCAAATATGTTCAAGATGGCTAAAAATTGGAGTGGTATGTATAAAGTTTCTGTTTACTTTTCAGATAAATAACTTCGGTTGGTTGTGTGTTGTGGAGTAGGTACCAATGCAGAAATCTTGTATAGGGTTTCCAGGACAGTAAATCTTTATAGGAGCAAAAAGCCTCATCTTTCTCCTGCGGAGTGGCTGGTAGAGTCGAACTGCTGATCTTGTGGTTAGCAGCCCAATTTGTAATCCATTACGCTACCAGGACTCCGTACACATAACTTTAGAGACATTTTAAAGGAGAAAATGATTGTTCATTCTCCTTAAGAGAAAGACTGTGTTGTTGGCTTCATAGACAGGTGTCAGTGCTTCTGACGTTCAGGGTCCTACCTGATCTCCACATTCCCTTTCCATCTCTGACCTCATTTCCCTCCTGTTCCCCTATTCATTTCTGCTCTCACCTCACATAGCCTTTGCATGCTCTGTTCCCTCTATCTGGCATCCTCTTTCTTCAAACAGAAGTGTGGCTGGTTCTGTCACTTCCTTTAGGTCATCCCTGACTATCCTGTTTTAAAAACAGTAATCATTTTCTTCCTGGAAATGCTTCTTTTCCAATGACCATATCATCATCCAGCAAAAATAAGTAAAATGTTTTTTGTGCGCTTTTGTGTTGTCTGGCATTCTAAATGAGAATGTGTCAACCTTTGAAGGCTGGAATTTAGTGTGATTTAACTCTTCTGTATCTCCAGGGCCTGGGCTAGCACTTACAACATTGTAGGAAAATAATTCATCTGATAATCAGCTTATGAGAAATCATCTGAATAAGTATGACACCAATTTTACAATTGAGGAAATTTAGACTGAGAAGTTAAATAACTTCCCAGAATTTAATGTTGTTGCTATGTTCTGTCGAGTTGGTTCCAACTCAGAGTAACCCGCATAGGGTTTCCAAGGAGCTGCTATTGTGTTTAAACTGCTTGCTTTGTGGTAAGTCCAGTGATTATCCTGCAGTGCAACACCAGGACTCCAGAGTTTAGTGTATGCTGTCTTAAAGACACTTTCAAGTTTGGAGAGACTGAAATGGCATTTGTAAGCAATCAGTAGAATGAACACGAAAAATCCAAGGTGGAAGGATAAACGTGTAACATTAAAGCCACTTAAAATTTATAGGAAAAATACAGGTAGTCTGTAAGAGTCTGAATGTTGTATTACAGAAATGATGGACTGTTTTTGTATTGGCCTTGCGATAGCTAACTTAGATGAACTATTAAAAATGGACTGGTGAGAGAGGGAGGATGTAGGTAGTAAAGGAAATGCATAATAGTATTTATGTTTTTAAATATAACCACAGGTGTAATTTCAGGATACAGCAGCAAACGTAATAATGACAAACACCTGTGTAATGTAAGCCAGGCCCTATTCTAATGACTTATGAGGTCCAAGTTATTACAGGAGGCAGGAGGCAGATCCCATTACGATGCTGTTCTGCTGGTACTTTCCCTGAACTGCCACTTGGTAGTTAGTTGCTACCACAAGTACCCCAGGTTCTTGTCCACTAAGCTTTCATTTACAATTTCATCAACTCTCCCATTCTGGTTATGTAGAGCACTAGCTCTATTATACTTGGGTATTTTCTTTCTATTAACAATGAAAACTAAAAATCCAGTGAGACAGTTTAAAATAGCAAGATGAACAACTAAACATTCTTGACCTCTTGTCTCTCCCCTTCATTAATCATTTGTGGCTTGAAGCCTTTAGTCTACTTTTATGATGTGTATGTGAAATTGATCTGAACAGTCCAAGGCTTTCATACTGATGTTGAATGGCCAGGCCAAAAGTTGGAGACTTATTACTCAGGGACCCTTGGAAGGTCTGTTTTACTTGAATCAGATCATTTCTGTATACGCCTAAGATGCATTTGAAGTCCTGGTGTGGCGCTGTGGGTTAATGTGCTGGACTGCAAAGCCCATTTGAACCACAAGATCAGCAATTCAAGGTCATCACCTGCTCCTCAGAAAGCCTATACAGGGTTGCTGTCATTCAGTACCAACTTGGTGGCATTTAACAGCAACAGGATGCACTTGGAGTCCTGGGCGTGATGCTGCAGGATAAATACTGGACTTCTAACTGCAAGGTTGGCAGTTCCAACCCATCAGCCGCTCCTCAGAATCCCTATATAGGGTCACTATGAGTCAGAACTGATTTGACAGCACTTAACAACAAAAAGATGCATTTGCTCAGTTGCATCTAATTGGGTTAGTACTTTTTCAGTGAGATGTAACTTTTATAGGAATAGATCCAGCACTTAACATGGGCTATATGGGATGATACTTAATTCCTCTGTATAATTATAGTATCATCTTCTTCAGCTGCTGGAAATGCATTTTGTCAAGCAGCCAAGCTCCATATGCAGCTTCAGAGTAAACACGATTCTGCTACCAGTTTTGTGGATGCTGGGAATGCTTACAAAAAGGCAGACCCACAAGGTAAGACACTTCTGTGCATATTACACATCACATCTGTGACATACCAGTCACTGTTTCCATTGTCAGGTTTATGTTAAAGTAGAGGCTGAGATCCTTTATGTATGCTACACTACAGAAACGAGTTCTGGGATAAAGGAATCTTGGTGCTTTGGATTAGTAGGGAGATTATGGTAATTTTAGGTATATTTTTCTTCTTTAATCATTTGGGGTCTTAGTTATAAGGAAAAAATATGTTGAATTTATCCTGACTATTGTCAACACTAAACTTATATTGCATTTTGGAAATTAGTTTTCTTTCATCTAAAACTTATTACAGTTTAAATTTATGAAATGATTTATTTTGGTAGTGAACACTAATGTTCCTTTATTCTTAAATATCTAGTGACTTTTAAGATCTAGTTAATGAAGGACTATAATATCAGAATGTTATAAACATCTCTTATTCAGATTATTCATCTTTCTATTTTTTAAGTGTTTTTCAAAGTTTCTGATGGTGGTGATGGTTGTGTAACGTCAAGCATCACAGCAACCATGTGTAGGATATCTGAGGCTCTAAATCTTTACCAGAGGAGAAAGCCTCATCTCTCTCCCATAGATTTGAACTGTTGTTTTTGCAGTTAGCAGCACAGGTCATACTACTGGGGCTCTGTGTAGAGAAATAAATTGAGTATGTTAAGTGGTAAAATATGTGTTATTTTGTTTTCAGTTAGAAAAGTTTCACACGTGTGTGTACTGATAGCTTTTTTTTTTTTCCTGATAGCTTTTGTGTTTGTTTTTAGCAGTCCATTTTATTAAGCACAGAAATCCCTACTTTTATGAGTCCATCATAAAAAAATAGGTTCTTTCAAGGACTTTTTTGTAAAGATTAATTATAGTATGTTCCAAAAATGAAAAACTAGCGTGAGCCTAAGTAAGCAGTAAGAGTAGGATGGTGAAAATAAAAGGCGGCATCTGTACTGTAGAATACAATGCAGGCATTGGAATCCTTGCCTTCCTTCGAAGAAGGGATAGTAAATGTTTGCAGGGTAACTGTTGAGAGAACCATTTGAGATGGAATGTACACCCTCAATTTCAGGAAAAGGTTTGCACACAAAGAAACACATCCAAAAAACATTGGAAGGAGGATGAATCAAATACTAAAAGTGGATTTGAGTGGGGTCATAGTTTGTTTTTCTCTTTATATATTTCTGTATATTTAAAATTATAACAGTGAATTCACACTTATGTAATTTAGGGGAAATATGCTTTTTTAATCCTTTCTAATGTTAATCTTATTTACCTAATTTTCTCTATTCAGGTCTTTTCACTTTGTACCTCTTTTAAACCAGAAGCTATTAAGTTGGAGCTGTTAACCATATGCCAGGGTAATAAACACAACCATTTTATTTTATAGCAGGGGAAATTTGTCAGTTCAATTCATTAACAAAATTAATTTAGTTTATTAGCATTATTAAGGCGCTCTGGTAGCATAGTGGTTACAAATCGGGCTGCTAACCTCAAGGTTGGCAGTTCGAAACTATCAGCTGTTCTGTAGGAGAAAGATGAAGCTTTTGGATCCTGTAAACATTTGCAGCCTCAGACATGCTGTGCAGGGTCACTGTGAGTCAGAACCAACTCCATGGTACTTAACAACAACAACTTTAGCATTATTGGGAAGCACGGTAGCTCTGTAGGATAAGCATTGGTTTGAGAACCACAAAGTCAGCTGTTTGAGTCCATCCGTCACTCTGTGGGAGAAAGATTGAGACTTTCTCCTGCAAAGATTTATAGCCTCAAACCCTGTATCAGGCAGGTCACTATATGAGTTGGAACTAACTCTACTTAACAAGAACAAAATTAGCATTTGGGGTTTTTTTTTCTCGCTTTGCAGACGTTTTTACACCAGAAGTGAATATCTTTGTACATTGTATAAAACGTTTTCTAAAGGTTGTCTAAATGGGAATTTCAAAGCGCTTTTGATTTTAGCTGCGTGAAGAACAGGATCCATTTGAGTCTTTCTTATGAAGTTGTACTGCCTTCCAAAAATAAGTTGCATGATATTAATGAGGAATATACTTAACATTTAAGTTTTAGCAGACATAATTTATCAGTGTTGACCACCCACCATGGTTTTGTCTTCTTTATAAATACTGTCTTTCATCTGGATGGGAGTTCCACGTTAAGGTTAAGAGTAACTGAGCCAATGTTGCCTCAAACTACAACTTTCTAAATTACACTGTTGCTACCCTGAACAAAGTCATATTGATGAGTTTGGGGCTCTGCATGATCTGTGTTTGCTTTTCACTAACTAAACTACTTCCCTGGACCCCCAAATTATACATCATTAAAGCTTTAAAAACCAGGACGTCAGTTTCACCTGAACTCTCTTTGACTGAATGAATTTTTCATTGTTTTTTTTTCTAAATGCCTACGCTTCAGAGGCTATCAACTGCTTAAATGCAGCCATCGACATATACACAGACATGGTAAGACATTGCATTGCTAGAACTGCTACGGGGTGTAGTCCTTAAGATGGCGTAGAGTTGTGTTCTTTTATTATTCATTCCCAAATGTAAAAGATAAATGTAAAATACGTTTAAAAAAATATATATTTTTTTTATTTCTCCCCAGGGAAGGTTTACAATTGCAGCCAAGCACCATATTACTATTGCCGAGATTTATGAGACAGAACTTGTAGACATTGAGAAGGTAAGCAATCAACAGAATTCCTCATAAACTGGATGCAAAGCTTAAGAACGCTCTCCACTTCAAGTAGAGTTGAGTGGGCAGGAAGGGGTGGCGGGCTCTCAGTACTGATACATAAATCAGCTGTTGTCCTAGAGTAAGTGTCTAAGACATGAAAATTGGTTAAAATTTGCCAAACCCCATCAGTTGTTTCTACATCTGTCTGATTCGTGTCATTATGTTGATATTGTCAAAAGAACTTCAACTCTGTCACTTAGGACTCTGCTGTCCTGTGAAAGAAAGTATTACAGGCCTCCCCCACTACCACCACCCTCCAGTCTTATGGAAATATAATTTACACACAATAAAATTTACCCTTTTTAAGTGTACAATTCAATAGTTTTCAGTGTAATTAAGAGTTGTGCAATCATCATCACCACCTAATTTAGAACATTTTCATCAACCTAAAAAAGGAGCCCTATACCCATTAACAACCACTCCTCATTTCTCCCCAATCCCACGGCCCTAAGGAGCTCTGGTAGCGTAGTGGTTACGAATCGGGCTGCGAACCTTAAGGTCAGCGGTTCGAAACTACCAGCCGCTCCGCGGGAGAAAGATGAGGCTTTCTACTCCCGTAAAGATTTACACCCTCGGAAACCCTGTACAGGGTCGCTATGGGTCGGACCCGACTCGATGGCACTTAACAACAACAACAACAAGAGACCACTAATCTACTTTCTGTCTCCATGGGTTGCCTATTCTGGATGCTTTTTCTATTTTAAAACTGCTCTTCCTAACATAATCTTGTACTCCCTTTTCCCCTGAGGTATTACTACAAAGCTGACACTGACATGCAGTTGACAAAAGGTACTTAAGACTGGAAGCTTCTGATCATAGGTCATTTCAAGGTGTTGTTGTTGCTATTAAGTGCAAGTTGGTTCCAAATCCCAGCGACCTTGCACAGGGTTTCCAAGGAGCAGATGGTGAGTTTGAACTGCCAACCTTATGGTTCAAACTGATCTTACTGTCCAGTGCTGTATCCCACAGTGCCACACCAGAGGAAATCTCAAAAGCCAATTTCAGAAGTCTGTGCTCTTGGAGCCACTGAAGGATCCTTTCTCTCCTTGAGCCCTGCTCGCTGATACCTGACTACACTGTCTCTCATCAGAACTGCTGCTTTCCCATAGTCAGTCTTACTGGAGAGTCAGTCCCCTCAGTTCCTGTGTTCTCAGTTTTCCTCAGGAAATACCCAGAAGGACAAGATGAATCCTGCCCACTTCCTGTTATGTAAGGCACTCAGTGGCGCAGTGGTTAAGCATTCAGTTGCCAGCAGAAAGGTCTGCAACCACTCCGGCCCTACATTTTTGTGCATTTTAAATAAAGTACTGCTGACATTTTTGTGCCTTTCAGATAAGGCTCTGACTATGGGAAAGAAGGTAGATAAATGGCAACTTGGCCAGCTATGTGTCATTTCACCTGGGTGTGGTTTTCTGAGCTGTGGTTTATAATGACAGGAAAGAGAAGAAGGAAGTTATGTTTACTGAGCACCTATTGTTTTCTAGACTTTGGATTTAGTGGCATTCCATGAATTTTAGCTCATATCGGGTCTCTCTAAAGTTGACCCTAATGGTTGATCAGTCTCCTATGTGATATTATCTTAGATAAAGTGTCAACAGCTGAGAATGGAATGTACCTCAGTGAGCGAAAAATACATTCATTAGACCCCAGAGTTTTTCAACTCAGATTTGAGATAAATGGTTTATAAAACTATCCTCCTGAATAAAATGGATGACAGGTGTGAATCAGAAAAAGATGATACGTGGAAGATCATGAGTGATTATTATCTGAACAATGAATGCTAACCATGCACACTAGAGATTAGATTCCATCCTATCTGAATGGATTAAATCAGACAGTTGCTCAAATCTTTCTCCTCTTTGTTTTGCTTTAATATTGTGGCTTTTAGGATCCTGTAACCACCTGGTTTTCCTGCTGCCTCAGTGACCACTCTCCCTGATTTGTTTCCTCTTCTCCTCTTCCTCTAGCATGGGGTGCCCCAAGTTATAGGTCTTTAGTCCTCATCACTCATTTAGCACTTACTCCCCTGCTACCCTCTCTAGACTCATGCAGCATCACAGCTTTAAATAAAATAGATTTGCCAGTTGCTTGCAAATCTAGCTTTAAATAAAACAGATTTTATAATTGCTTGCAAATCTAGCTGTGGCCCAAACCTCTCTCCAGGCTCCCGATTTCTCGGTCTACCTGCTACAAGTAAGGCAGGGAGCGTCTTGGAAAGAGTTACTAGAAAAGCAGAGCATTTCACTCAAGGACAGAGGGCTTCTTTTGTTCTCTGTTGCATCTCCAGTGCTTGGGACCTACATAGAAGACACTCAGTAAATGTTAATTGAGTGGATTCTCAGGTGGATGATGTCTAAGAACTGTAGCCCCGTGTTGTTAAGTGCCGTTGAGTCAATTCCTAGGAGCAGTTGATGAGTTTGAACTGCCAACCTTGCAGTTCAAACCAACCTTATGGTCCAGTACCTTATCCCACAGTGCCACGCTGTAGCCCCATGTTGTTGTTATGTGCCATGGAGTCAGTTCTGACTCATAGTGACTCTGTACAGGGTTTCCAAGGTTGTAAATCTTTACAGGAGCAGAAAGCCTCATCTTTCTCCCACAGAACAGCTGGTAGTTTCAAACTGCTGACCTTGAGGTTCGCAGCCCGATTCATAACCACTACGCTACCAGAGTTCTTTAGCCCCTAGAAAAGCCCATGAGCCAAGTGAGATCCTCATGTGGCCCAATATCTGCTACTTCACTTCTTCAGGACTCCCTGAGACATGGGCCTAAGGGGGCTCTTGGAAGGTGAAAACATTAATGCTAAACCTTCCCGTTTTACAGTCTATTTTCCATTGCAGACCAGCCATAAGATTTCTGTATTTTATTTCCTTGTGAAATGTTTTACAGGCTAACTGATTTTACCCACCTTGAAGAATGACCTTTCTTGGGGGCAGAGGACATATCTCAGAATAAGCTTTGTCTGCCCCAACCAGCGAGACCTTTGTGGTGGAATCCATCTTGAAGAAATGTTGTGCATGCACCCCGTTAGCATGGCCCCTCCTAAATGGGCGCTTCCCCCAGATCCCTGCTCATTACTATAAATAAACATGATGCCTTTTCCCCATCCCAAACATTTTTAAACTCCAGCAAAGCCTTTATTTGGGGAGATGGAGTTTAGTACTGCATTAAGCCCTTCCCATCTGTATGTCTACAAGGAAGACTAGTTAATACTAATATTATTCAAATTTATGCACCAACCACAAAAGCCAATGATGATGAAATTGAAGAATTCTAACAACTTCTTCAGTTTGAAATTGATCAAACATGCAATCAAGATGTATTATATTTACTGGTGATTGGAAACAAAGAGGAAGGAATTAGTGGTTGGAAAATAATGGCCTTGCAGATAGAAACGATGCTGGAGATCACATGACAGAATTTTGCAAGACCAATAACTTCTTCATTGCAAATACCTTTTTTAAACAACATAAAAGGCAGTTATACACTTGAACCTCACCAGATGGAATACACAGAAATCAAATGGACTATATCTGTGGAAAGAGATGGTGGAAAAGCTCCGTATCATCAGTGAAAACGAGGTCGGGGGCAGATTGTGGAACAGACCATCAATTACTCCAATACAAATTCAGGCTGAAGTTGAAGAAAATGGAAACAAGTCCATGAGAGCCAAAATATGACCTTGAATATATCCCACCTGAATTTAGAGATCGTCTCAAGAACAGATTTGATGCATTAGATGCTAAAGACTGAAGATCAGAAAAGTTGTGGGATAACATCAAGAACATGATACAGGAGGAAAGCAAAAGGTCATTAAGAAGACAAGAGAGACGGAAACAACCAAAATGGATGTTAGAAGAGACTCTGAAACTTGCTCTCCAGCATAGAGGTGCTAAACCAAATGGAAGATGTGAGGAGATACAAGAGCTGAACAGAAAATATCAGCTCGAGAAGACAAAAGTCAGATATTATAATGAAATGTGCAAAGACATGAAATTAGAAAACCATGTGTGTTGAAGAAGTACAGTCAGAGTGCTCCCTGGAAGCCAGGATGGCCAGATTTCGTCTCTCATAGTATGTTTGGCGAAGTGGAGGGTCAGAGATAAAGAGGAAGACTCCCAGCGTGATGGATTGGCACAGTAGCAGCATCAGTGGGCTCAAACTTAGAAACGATTGTGAGTTTGACCGAGGACCAAGCAGTGTTTCGTTTTATTGTGCATAGGGTCACTATGAGTCAGAACTGATTCGATGGCACCTGACAACAACATCATCTCCACTTGTAAGCCTGTTTCCCCTAATAAACCTTTGCTCACATGGAAACTCTGCCTCTCTTGATTGTTCTTCATCCGTTGAGGGCAAGAGCCCTCTTGTAGGGCGGAGGTGCAGTTAGCATTCCCAATAACCCAACCTCCCCACATATATTCAACAGTCATCTAAAACTCAGCACATCTACAAATCTCAGCTGCATCTTAACTACTTCACTGTCCCTCCAGCTTGTGCTTTATCACTGGAGTAGCCTCTAATTGGTATCACTGTTTCTGCTCTTCCCTTCCACCAGCTTCACACAGATGCAACAGAGCAAGTAAAGTGGTCCTTGTAATCAGTTAATCTCATTCCATTCTCCACTGCTTACAACTTTGCATTGTCTCTCCACTTCATTAAAAGAAACAGCCAGATCTTTGCAGATGGCCTTGTTAAGGCCCCACTGGCTTTACCACCACCACCTCAGACCTCTCCTCTACTAGAGCTTCATAACCTGCCACCCCGGTCTCTTTGCTGCTTATGACCTCCTGCTCAGGACCTTGGCACCAGCTTTTCCATCTGCTTGCAGGGCTCTTCCACAGATGTACCCGTGGCTAACTTCCATATTCTTCAAGTCTACATGACTAACTTTTCTGTATCCTTCTCCTTTATTATGAGGTCTACCATCACGAAGTCCTGGTGTG